CTCTCTCTCTCTCTCTCTCTCTCTCTCTCTCTCTCTCTCTCTCTCTCTCTCTCTATCTATCTATCTATCTATCTATCTATCTATCTATCTCTCGTAGACTGCATCGTAGAACGTAGCCGGCCAGCACGAACACCAAACCATTCAAACTGCACTCCCGGCTTACGTTGACCACACCGTAGAATGTAGCCCGCCAACACGAACACCAAACCATTCAAACTGCACTCCCGGCTTACGTAGACTGCACCGTAGAACGTAGCCCACCAGCACGAACACTGAACCACCGTGCGGAGGAGCACGAATACCGAACCATGCAAACTGCTTGACGGCCGCGCCACGAACCACCTAACCGGCCGACACGAAACTTCCGGATTCGGAAAACAAAAAAAAAAAAAGGTCCCCGGGCCGGTTTTTCGTGCGAGATACGGCCGTCCACCAAACGAAACTTCGAGATTGCCCTTTCGAAGTCGGTTCGGCGGTGCATCTTGCCAGTTTTGCATGCCACATACAGCACTCCACAAAGCGAAACTTAGGCCGACGAAACGACACAAAAAAATAAATAAAAACACGATGCATCTTCACAGTTCCCCAGACCGTATTCACGACCCCAAAATATAAACCCAGTCCGTCGATTCGCGAAGTTCCCTGTGGGCCCACGCTTTAAGAGTATTAAGGATTAAGGATTAGGGATGAAAGCTATGCACAATGGTTTTTTATAAGTTTTAAACAATGATCACACCAGAGTAATCCAGTCAATCCCCACTTCTTTTCCAGGCTTCCTACCGCCTCCATGTCATCAACCAGTATACGATAACAAGTATGATAAGTTCTGATCACCCAGAAGTGCCAGGTGGCACTCTTATCTCATGAAGACCATGAAGACAACAGCAGAATACAGTAACGACATCAACCGAAGGTGAGTACCCGATCCCAATCATTCACAGATCCCAATCTTCCTCCTTGTCGCAACCAGTCACCTCATGTAGACAGCATGGCCAATGCCACGTCAGATGTAGAGACAGGTGGCATGCGCCACATCATCAATGTAGACCAGTGGCATGCGCCACATTAGCAATGTAGACAAATGGCATTCGACACATCAGCAGGGTAGGCCAGTGGCAGCGCCGCATCAGCAATGCCTGGCGCACAGAACAGAAAGCACCAGCATGCTGCCACAGTCCCACATCGTCGTCCACAGTGCCTGCGCACAGCCAGCATCAAGCCAGCGTCGAGCAAGCGTCGAGCCAGCGTCGAGCCAGTGTCGAGCCAGCGTCAATGCCAGCGTCCAGTCAGAGTCGAGCCAGCGCCAAAGCAGCATAGCAAGACTGAATGTTGACCACCTCGAGACCAAGCCCTTTGTAGTGTTTGACAAGGCTGTCTCGCCTCGGGTCCCCTTCCCACAGTCGTACAGATTGAATCACAGCCGAGGGCCTGGATTGTGTACAGTTGCAGATTTCCCCTTGGTCCTGATGCTGTCTGGGTACCTGCACACAAACAAGTGTGTGTGTCTGACCGGCGGCCTGGGCTGGGTCCACTTTGGACTTTGACTGTTGGGTCCCGACAGTTGACTTTAGTCAACTGTTCCTCGCTCAGGCCCTGAATCTGTAGCTGGGGTCTTTTCGCCCTTTTCGGCCTGGGCCTGGGTGTGGCCTGGCGAGGCCCTCAGACTTTCTACGGGGCATACTGTATGGGTTGTTGCAATAGAGCCCTCAACGTAGTTCACGGAAGCACAAATTTCTTGGGCAGCACCCACCCTCATCATTGCTGTATCTGACCAGAATTGGACTTCCATACATTCCACGACACAAGGAGCAGTTGCCCAAGCCCACGGCAAGCACAGTGTCCAGGAGGAGCACCAATCCCTTGACTTGGCTGTATCTGACCTGAATTGCATATGTTGGAGGACACTGACTTCTTTTTGTTTTTTGGGTTTACATCTGACAAGCATAAAGCACCAATCCCTTGACTTGGCTGTATCTGACCTGAATTGCATACGTTGGAGGACACTGACTTCTTTTTGTTTTTTGGGTTTACATCTGACAAGCAGAAAGCCCTCAACGTAGTTCGCTGAAGCACAAAAGTTTTTTAGCAGCACTGGGGGCGAGAGCCAGTTCCGGGCCGAAGCAAGGGCCCAACGTTTGCAGTCAGCTAGGGAGGCAGCAGCAGCTGCGGAGCGTGTTTTAGCAGAAGATGCAGCTACTGCTGAAGCTATGGCCGCTCCTGCAGCGTCCTCTCAAGTTGAGCAGACAACAGGAACTTTCACTATTTGCTTTGTCTCATAGAGTGGGACTAGTGCAGGACCATCCACCAATCAGATGGCAGGCTCGCAGTACAGCCAGCCACCTCAGCCCACTAGGGAGGAGATAGAACTCCAGCAAGTAGAGCTACTGGGCTTACAGCTAGAGAAGCAACTCAGAGATGCTACTCAAAGACAAGATCAGATTAGAAATTGTAAAGCTAGATTGGAGAGCAGAGAGGCAGACAAGCCTGCATTAGAAGGGTTAGATGATTCGACCTTGGATGATGTAGGAAAAATCATCCAGGCGAACCACCTTAGTATGAACGAGTATTTTGACAGCCGACTGGATGAAATCCAGTCAACCCTTGACCAGATACCGACGACTGTGCAGGGAAGAGGAGGGCCACAACCCTCCATACCTAGCGGGCCAGGTGTCCGGAAGCAGCTAGTCTATACATCGCTGGTTCCTTTACCAGGTGGTACTTCACCAGCAACAGCACAAACTACTGCTGCTTCATCCTCTGGTCCAGCTTCTGTAGCTACGGCGCAGAAGACGGTCCCACCAATGGGACCACAACAGCCTTGGTATCCCAAGACCCCACCGAAACCACCTCCTACCTTCTGAGGAGATAACAAGGATGAGGCAATCGACACCTGGTTGAGGACGGTTCCAGTGTGGGCAAGGGCGAAGATGATGCTACTAGAAGAAGAGGTGATCATTGCCGCCTCATATCTTGAAGGATCGGCAGCGAGATGGCTAGATGGACTAGTGGCATCTGAGGGTTTTGGTCGGCGAATGAATGGCAGAGCAAAGACCCATAACGTAGAGAGTTTTATGGAGTTGGTTGAAACGGGATGGCACAACCCTCAGCAGGCCCAGCAGGCCACTGATGTGTTGGCCCGACTTGATACTCGAAGGTACAAGTGTGCTCGAGAACTCACCACTGTCGTAGAGAAACTCATAGTCGTTACCGGTGTTCGCTATGATCAACATGTTCTGCTGACCAGGTATTTGAGATGTCTTCCCCCAGACATCAAGAACTTAATCGCCAGTGAGGTAAGCATCACTTATCACACTCTCGACTCCTTCAGCAAGAAGGCCTTAGACTTGGAGGCTAAGCTATGAGGAGTACAACAACCTGCAGTTGACGGTAGGAAGAAGAAGTTCCCACAAAAGTGGAAGAAGAAGGGTAGTCGATCAATGACGGTTGATTCCGATGGGAATCAAACCGAGATCAATGATCTCTCTGATCTTGTGGAGGAAACAGAGATAGGCAGCGAGGAGAGTGCAGAGGTTGACAACCTCGTTGTCATAACCAAAGGAAAGGCAGTTGTGCGCGGCAAGGGCGGTCAACAAAAGAGTCTGGGGCAGGTCCAAAACTCAAACAAGACTTCGGCTAGGGTAAAGGGATGGCATGGATCAAGATGTGTGGAGGGACCGCTACTTGCGAAGAGCTTGCGTCAACTGCGGCGAATACGACCATGAGCAGTTCAGATGTAAGAACGAGAAGGTCTCTCAAAAGATAGCTCCCAAGGTGGTTTTGAGGGATCTTTCGCCCATTGTGGTGCTTCTATGAGCACAAAGCAAGGAAACACATCCGACCAGTAGAAGTTCTAGCTGGTTCTACTCATGCTGGAGTGGTTGACGTACCCGTACCACTTCAGGAGTTGGCCGAAGTTATTGACTCACTAGTCACCCTGCAAATACATCTAGACCAACCGACATTCTGTTCGTTGGATGTGTCCGAAGCCTTAGAAGACTTAGAAACTGAGTGGTCGGCAAGGGACCCTCGTGAGTTTTGGGTGGCACTGTCAAGAGGTCCTAGAGGGGAGCACTTCGTTGTGGAAGTCGGTGTAGGTGGCCGCAAGTGTGGCGCCTTCGTAGACATTCGCTCAAGTAGAACTTCGTTAAGTCGCGGCTGAGTAGACCTGTAGCATCTACTCTAGCCAACAAACAACGCATGTCAGTCAAGGACTACATCAAGGATGTGGTATGCACCTTCTCTTATGGAGGTGGGGAACTTGATCATCAGATTTCGTTCCTAATTGGCGACGACTTGCCTTTTGACATGCTCTTAGGTATGCACCACCTTGAGGTTGCCAAGCCCCAGTTTGACTAGGACAGGAAAGTGCGCAAGAACATTTTGCCTGATGGGAGAACCGTTAGACTAGCTCAGTATATAGCTCGCAGGTTAGTTCACTCCTGTGGGTGCATGTGCGCAAGTGCATTATATAAACAAAACCAAGAGGAGGGTATGTACTTAGTTTTTGTGTTTGAGAAAGGTGAGGCCGTTACCCTAGAGATAGAAACAATCGTTGCTAAGAACCCGGATCTGTTTGAGGAGCCTTCGAGAGTTGTAGGCAGGGAGGTTGTCCATGCGATAGAGGTAATCCTAGGAAGTAAAACACCAAAGGGGAGGATCTATAGGATGGCTCCAGTCGAGTTTGACGAACTTTGTCGACAACTGAAAGAGCTCACATAGAAGGGTTGGATTCGGCCTAGTACTTTCCCCTTCGACTCACCAGTTTTATCTGTTTTGAAGAAGGGGGGGTCGTTAAGGATGTGCATTGATTATAGAGGCCTCAATGCCATCACCGTTAAGAACGCAGAGCCGCTACCCTGCATTAACGACCTATTGGATAGGGTTCAGGGATGAAAGTACTTTACCAAGATAAATGTAAAGTTCGACTACCATCAAATTGCCATTACATCAGAGGATCAGCACAAAACCGCTTTTCAGACTAGGCTCGGTCTGAATGAGTTTGTGGTGATGCCTTTTGGCCTGTGCAATGCGCTGGGTACATTCCAGCATGCCATGAATAGGGTATTTCATGACTACTTGGACAAGTTCATCGTCGTGTACCTCGGCGATGCATTTATCTTCAGTAGGATTGTCGAGGAGCATGCCTACCATGTAGAAACTGCACTTTCACTCCTGCGAAAACACCAGTATAAGATCAATTTAGAGAAATGCGTCGCACTAGAATCTTGTACTTGGGTCATGAGATATCGGCAGAAGGCCTGAAGATGCGAAGGTGGCCAGCATTTGTGACTGGCCACGACCCCAGTCTGTGACTGAGATCAGATCATTCTTAGGGATGTGTGGCTACTACCAAAATTTTGTGAAGAGTTATAGTGCAGTGGTCTCCCCTTTGACTGATCTAACGCGCCTGGACACACCATGAGAACGGACAGACACGTGTTAGGCTGCTTTCATGAGATTCTCATGGTCCTCGATCCGGAAAGGCCATTCGTTGTGACCACTGACGCAAGCCAATATGGCATTGGCGTAGTGCTGGCCAAACAGGAAGGGAAAAGTTGATGCCGATCGAGTACATGAGCAAGAAAATGCCATCTAAGAAGTTGGTCGTCCACCTATGAAAGGGAACTCTACGCCCTCTACAAAGCCCTTGTCCACTGGAGGCATTATCTGCTTGGTAGGTTCTTCTATTTGAGAACCAATCTTTGGACACTTAAGTGGATCAAGACCCAGCCTGTTCTCTCCGATGCACTCAAATGCCGGATTGAAGTCATAGATCAATATGACTTTAAGCTAGATTACGTGAAGAGAGAGTACAACAAGGTTGTTGATGCGCTGTCATGTAGGGTAGACTACCTAGGTGCGCTGATAACTGAATTTGGCTTACCTGCCGATGTAACTCGATCAATGGTGGATGCCTACAAGGAAGATCCGCCATGATGGACATCATACACAAACTTTAGGCCCAAGACAAGGCCACATTTGACGAGTTTGTGTTGGTGGACAGATTACTCTTTCTTGAAAAGGCAGGGTTCAAAAGATTGTGTTCCATCTAGTGAGATTCTCGGTAGTTTATTTTTAGTTGAGTGTCATGGCGCGACTGGTCACTTTGGTTACAAAAAGACTAGTGCTAATCTAGTGCAGCATTTCTGGCGGTCTAGTATGCTTGACGATGCAAAGAAGTAATTTCAGATTTGTCAA